AAAAAAAAGTACGATTTTAAAAATGGAAAACAACCATAATGCAATTTTGAAGCATAAAGCCTTTATAAAGATAGTCACACAGCTTCATCATAAATACATAATTAGAAAGAAATTTTCCAGCAGGCCTTTGGAAAACGTTTAGAAGCCAAGTGACAATATTTAACTGTAAAACACTTCAAAAAAAAGGCCTATTCTACGTACAATACTGTGGAGATGTGGAGATCTCAGAAATTAGCGGTTGCATTGCTTCTTAAACAATAAAATCTTGTAGCACTAACAAATCACTGAGTTTAATTTAATGCTAAACAACATTGTAAAAATAATTTTTTCTGTGGTTTCGCCAATAATTTGTGACCAACATTTAGCCATCACTCGATCTTTCAGCAATAAAATAATGATGTTCCATTTAAACCATTGAACTTAAAAAGATTTTTAGCACATATATTTCACTTATTCACCTCAAAAAAAAAAGAGATCACATTTGTCAACAGAACCGAAACCACTCTAAAAATCAACACATTAGAATGGCAACAAAAAATATGGCTTTATACATTCATATTTCACCATCTATATTAGAAAATATTTCTTAAATCTGTGCTTGTTTTCAATAATTCCATACCTTGTCTGTTATAACAGTTCTAATTTTAACCAACCCACTGTAATACAGGCTATACCTGTTCATTATGGGTAAATGGAAACGATGACTTTCTATGACAAATCACTAGTAGAAAAATATAAGTGATGAGAAAATGGTGAACTGAACTTTTCAAAACAAATTATCTCGCCTATGAACAAATCCATAAATAACAATAAACTAACAAAAAAAAAATTTTTTTCAAATGTCATTATTCATAATTTAGTCATCAAATTCTGACATCATCATGAAACACGTAAGATGTCCTCTTTACAATGTGACAATGCAAAATTACTATAAATTTATAAAAAACTGATAAAAAATTTAATAGCAAAGATCGAACATCTGCCATCCGAATCCCTGGTCTTTTTCCCACTTTTATCCTAAATTCCCTCACATCCTGCAATGAAAAAAATGTATGCTTTATCCAGAAACAAAAACGAACTTCCCCTTCTACTTTTCTTTGTTATTTTGCGCTCTTCATTTTTCAACGGTTTTAGCTCTGTTGCCTATTTCGGAGTAAATTAACAACTGAAATTACACGAGTAGAATTTTTAACAATTATTTTTAAACAAACTATTGTGGTGCTCCTACCTGAAACAGAAAAAAAAAACTTTTTCAAATCTAAACATATGTTAAATTTACAAATATCGTCGACCAAAATCCTTTCAAGTTTGTTAATCTCCGACTCCTAGCAAAAGAGGAAAAAAATGTAATGAACAATAATTCAAGATTAGACAACAGAGGGTCAGGTAAAAAAAATCAGGACCCTTAAGATGATAAGAAAATGTCAGTAATAACAAAAGTAGGTTGGTTTTCAGATGTTAAGTCCTGGAGCTTTCCAGCCGTAAAACTGAATAAAGAAAAAAAAAGATCAACTCAGATTTGCTTACAAAAAATATCAAGAATTATAAGCACATTCAATAGAAAGAAAGAAAGAACGGAATAAAAAATATGCAAAATACAATCATACCAAATGCAGATGCAAAATAAGTTACCAAATAATAACAAGACAAATGTTTGTGCATATTTCCATATATCGGCACCATACGAGAATATAAACTTCAGCGACAACACATCATCAGTCAGCTCCGATTACTACAACGGACTACTTGCAACAACTATGACGTTGGTGACGACCACTGCGAGGACAACACCAACAATTGCAAAGTGGATGTGCAACGCGCCGCTGCAGCCAACACAATCAGGTCATGCGTACGTATTTACCGACGGACAACTGCCAATGGGACACGTAGCGCACTGGCGATGAATGCCTTTACAGTGAGTGAGTAGTGGCCAAAGGCGGGGCCCAAGAAGTGGCAAATGCAGTTAAGTCGCCGAGTTTACTACACCACTCTGGCTGACTCAGTGGTGCAGAGATGTGTGTGTCTGTTTGTGTCTGTGTCTGTGTAGTTCGAGAAAATAGATGCCAAAATTTTCCATGCATTTTTGCTCTCGGTCTTTGGATTACTGCACTTCGCAGTTCATCTTTGATTTATCACATTTTAACATTTTTTTTGATTTTTATCCAACAGTTCTGCTTGGATGTTTCTGCTTTTTTTTTTTTTTCTTCATCCTTTTAGCCAAATTTTGGCTTTTACAAGGCAGTGGCTTGACGGCTGACTAATTGACTGAGTGGATGACTTACCAACTGACCTGGGTGTTGCTTGACTAATTTGCTAACAGACCAACTAATTAACCAAGCAACCAACTAATTAACTAAGTCACTGACTGACTGACTGACTGACTGACTGACTGACTGATTGACTGGCTGACTGACTGACTAGCTGACTGACTAGCTGACTGACCAATTGACTAAGTGAATGAGTAAATGAACGGATGAATGGCTAACTGAATAAGTGAATGAACAAAAAAATGAACCAAACAAAGTGCTGAACTTACTAACTGATTGACCGAATGGACTAACTGGTTGATACAACAGGTAACTGAATTAATGGCCGACTGTTAACTGGAACGAACAACTGGACAACGGAGTGTAACAGGAATTGCTCTTGTCAGTGCATTATTCGGAATAAATGATTTGTAACTGCATCTTGAATGCTCTTTTACTGGTACTGGGAGAAAGTTCTTACTTGCAACGGGAAGAAATTTGTACTTTTTAAAATTTTTCTGATGTTTTTTTCTTTTATTTGCTTATTAAAAATTTTTTTGCTCAATTGGTCATTTACCAAAAATAATTGTTATTTGTACTGCGGTAGATAATCACTTCAGTTTTGCTGGTTAAATCTTTTCGGAGACGGTCAACTTTTTTTTTAATTCAATTAACGATGATAACTGCTGACCGTGTTGTATTTTCTAGTACGGCTACTGCTACTGCTGTTGTTGGTTGAGTTTAGAAATTTCAAATTAGTTTTGTAAATCTGAAAATTTTCTTCTGTCTGTACGTCACTAGCAGTCCTACATCCGTGTTCCTGGGCACTTGATGATTGCCAGATAAGGTCGCTAAACAGCTACTGTCATGCTTTTTTGCAAATAGCAGTGTATCTATTTGTGTGTATAATTCTTGAAAACAACTACTACTTCTTTTCCATTTTGTTTCTCAACCGTGTGAGCTGATGATGCATTTGACTGTGGTGCATTAAAGAACCTATTCAAACTTCGATTGGGGCAGTTGAGTCTGAACATATTTGACTTTGTCTGCGTTGGCTGTGCTTTTTTTGGTTTTTGGCCCATCAAACATTTGTTTACTTGAAGCATTGGGTTTCATATAACAAATTGCTTGTTTGGAATCGTTGATTTGCTTGGCCACTACATCAGTGATTTGAAAAAAAAAGAAATGCAAAAGCGAAACAAAGGAAAAAGGAATGTATAATTTCATCCAAATGCAGCGTCGAATATCAATTTTATTTATTCCCCTCTCACAGTTAAAATTCTTCTTCACTTTATTTGATGATAGCATTTTAATTGTAGCCCAGAAATCTGGTCAGAGATAGAATACCTTATGCAGAGCTGAAGAAAATAACCGGTACAGTTTTTTTACGTTGAGCCGGTTGTTGTTTTATTTTTAACTAATTTTTTTTTCTGTCGTTCCCTGTCTTAGTCATACCGTTTTGAAACAAAAACGTCAGCATATTGTAATCAGTTTGCCAGCGAGCTGAGGAAAATTTTTTCGTACACATGCCGGGAAATTGTTACGCTGGGGTTATGAGTCTTTGTCAAGCTTTGCCTTATGTCGTTGAGTTATTTCTTCGAATATAGCCTTTTGTTGTCGACTATAAAACATAGCTAAAGCAAGCGATTTCTTCAGACTCTGCGGTTTTAAGGTTCAGTAATATCACATAGATGTTGACGGGTAATTGTTTTTGTATGTCCATTTGACTTATATGATTTTTCTAGAAAAACAAAAAACGTTGTTGTTTTCATATTAGAGACTACAGTTCGTAAAAATATAAATCCTGGATTTATCTTTATTGACAATTGTGAAAGCTGAAACTGCGCCCACGTTTTCATTTTGTCATTGAGGCCTGTAGGTATATATATATATATATATATATATATATATATATATATAGGGAACCTTGTAAACTTCATATTCACATTTGATGTTGATGTTGTTGAGAAAATTAGTTCTGTCCTTTTATGACCAAATGCAAAAGATAACTTATATAGATATATGACGAGGAGTTGAATATTTTTTTTTCTCAAGAATACTGGAACAAGTTGTCTTGAAGGTTTGACCTTAGCTCTTTCTAAACAGCCTTATTTGGGAAGGAAAACGAAGGAGTAATTTCAAGATGGGTACTCTTCTGCCAATCAAATTTCAGGAACACGTACTCGTAAGTACTTTTATTCGTCACACATTTCTTTAGTTTTATCGGTGCTACCGTGAGAAATTAGGTTCACTGAAATAGCCTAAGCAGAACTTGAAAATTTGTGAAAAATTTCAGCTACAAAACTTGGGAATCAATGCTGCAAACATTGGCTTTGCCTCTTTGACGATGGAGTCGGATAAATTTATAGTTGTAAGAGAAAAAGTAGGGGAAAGTTCACAAGTTGTTATAATTGATATGAGCGATCCGACAAACCCATTAAGACGTCCCATCACTGCAGATTCTGTAATTATGAACCCCGCCGCAAAAATTCTGGCTTTAAAAAGTACGTTTACGAGGGCTGTGCTCATCCCTTTGCTTGGTTCATGCCTCTTAGTCGTTTTAAAAAATTTTTGAAAAGTTATATTTGTTCTAGAATGGATTATTTAACTAGTTTCTAATTTATGCGACGTTTTCAGGTGGTCGCACCTTGCAGATTTTCAATATTGAATTAAAAGCCAAAATAAAAGCCTATCTAATGACTGAAGATATACCTTTCTGGAAATGGGTAAATCCGCAAACGATAGCTTTGATAAGTGAAACTGCTGTTTACCATTGGAAAATGGAAGGTCTCTTATATTAGTATTCTTTATTACAATGAAAGCAAAGATTGGTATCTTTATTTCTAAGATGGCTTTTTAGGTGATTCTGCACCTACTAAAATTTTTGAGCGTCACTCCAACTTAAATGGTTTTCAAATTATCAATTACCGAGCAGACGTTGATTGTAAATGGTTCGTTTTAATTGGGATAGCTGCGAGAGTAAGTTTTATCATGTTTTT